CCACTTATATCAATATTTCACTACTTACTAACATAAATAAAAATACCATTTTTGTATTAGAATTACTTTTGTACACCTTTTATTTTTATTTTTTTCTTACTTTAAAACATTTGAACCCATGGAAAATTCACCACTCTAATTAGAAATAAGCTATATTCTCTTGGTGCTTTTTCTTGACAAATCTGTATTGCTCCTACAAGTAAAAACAGATTGCCATTACAAGTTCCCCCAAGAAGTTAACTTGCTATAGATTTGTACCCTTTCAGTTAATGTCCAACATTCAAAGATTTTTACTGAAAGAGCTCTTCTAAATAAGAATGTTACAAAGTAATAGTTCTAAAAGTACATATTACAAATGAAAAGGGAGGATAGACACACTATTTTGATATAGCCATTATCAAAAGTACTAGAAAATGTCTACAAAAAGGTAAAGATACCCTGCTTAAAAGCCTCTAGATGCAGAATTCTTTGCTCTGGGAGATCCTGCTGAATTCCATTTTCATAATATTTGATTTGAAAAAGACCCAGATTCTCTTATATCTGATATCTAGAACTATCATAATCTAATATTACCATAAAATCAAGTTTTTATTGCCCTAATTTTATAATCTAATCTAAGAAAATATTTTTAAACATCAAGTACATTTTATTTATTGAAGCACTTTCATGTAGATTATATCTCAAATTTTTGTCAGGTAGATAAGGTAAATAAGGATGAGCTTACAAAAAAAAATCACTTATCATTCCCCTACACCACAACAACAAAGTGGAAAATATAATAAAAATGCAAAATCACAATAGCAATAAAAAACTAAAGCACCTATGAGCTAATATAATGAATGCACAAGATCTTTATAGAAAAAAGTAAAGCTTTAAGAAAGGTATTATAATTGGATACTCATATAATAAAAAAGGAAACTTGATACATATGTTACACTCTACAGATACACACAATTTAAATATAAATGTAAAAGAAAAAACAATAAAGCTTCTAAAATAATTGGAGAATTTCTTCATGATCTTAAGGTAGCTAAAAATTTCTTAAATAGGACATTAAAATACTATCCACAAAGGAAAAACAAATAAATTGTACAAAATTAAAATTAAAAACCTCTATGCATCAAAAACCACTATTGAGAGAGTGAAAAATAAGCCACAAACCTGAAGATATTGTAGTACATGTATCTGATAATGACTTATATCCAGAATATATAAATAAGTCTTATAGATGAATGAGACAAGACAATTCAACCTCCCCAAAATGGGCAAGTACTTACACAGGCACTTCATGAAAGAAGAATGGTCATCAAACTTACAAAAAGGTATTTAATTTCATAAATACCAGGGACATGAAAACTAAAACCACAGTATGATACCACTGAAGACCCATCAATATGGCTAAAACGCAAAAGAGAAAAAAGCAAGTTTGACAAAGAAGTAGAATGACTAGAACTCTTATGTGCTGCTAGTGGAATGATCAACCAGTACAACCATTTTGGAAAACTTTTGGTAGTATCTACTAAAACTGACTATAGGTGAACCAAAGCTGAAACAGGCAAAAAAACCCCCAAAGCTCAGCACTTCTAGTCTTCTACCCAACAGAAATGCACATATTTGTTCACCAGAAGATATTTATAGGAATATTCATTACAGCACTTTTCTTAGCAGTCCCAAACTGGAAATAACCCAAATACCCATCAACAGTAGAATAAGTAAATTGTGGTATATTTATACAATGGAATACTACATAGCAACAAGGTAAACTCAACTGTATACAACAGAATGGATGAATCTCACAAAGATAATGCTGAGTGAATAAAGCCAGACTCTAATATTTATTGCATGATTTCAGTTTTATAAAGTTCAAAAATAAGCTAAATAGAAATCAGGACAGTAGTTATATAGGAGACGGGGGAGAGGGATACACAATGACTGGGAGGATAGGTAAGGGTGGCTTCTAGAGTTCTGATGTTTTTTGATCTGCATGCTGCTTAAACAAGTGGGTCTACTTTGTGAAAATTTGTCAAGGTGTACACTTACAATCTGTACACTTTATGTATATTATATCAATTAAAAATTTAGATGAGAAAGAAAAAGCAAAACATACTGGATTCCAGATCTCCAAAGAGGCAGAAATAGTTTTTAACTTAAAAATCACTAAAAGGGACATAAATGAAGACCTAAAAAATTGGTGAAATATGTTTATGGATGGGATAACTTAACATTAAGATGACTATCCTCCCTAAATATGTAAATGCAATGTCATTCCACCAGCATTTTTTTGAGGAATTCAACTAATGCATCCTAGAACACATACTGAAAAATAAAGGTACATGAATACCTAAGACAATTTTGAAAAACAAAAGCAGAGGGAGTCCTTATCAAGTATTATGACATACCACAAACAGTAATAAAAACAGTGTTTCTGGAGCAGAAGCAGACAGACTAATGGGATACTAAAGAAAAAGACCCACTTATATATGAGAAGTTGATAAAGAATGGATTGTTTAATATATAATTGTTGGGAAAACTGATTCACTGTAAGTATAATAATTAAGGTGGCTCCCTACCTTAAATCAAATAAAAAGGCAAACTCTTTATACTTGAAATACCTAAAAATAAGCTATAAGGCAAATAGAACAACATGCAGAAAAATGTCTTTAGGAAAAATGTCTTTAGATTCAAAATGCATAAACCGTAAGGTGAAAAACTGACTAGAAGAGTTTGTATAACAAAGTACAGCATAAATAAAGTTAATGGATGACAGACTTGGGAAAAGATACTTGAAAAGTAGAAAAGAGGCTTATAAACTAGGATATACAAGGTACTCTTGGGGAAAAAAGATAGGAAATCCAATGGAAAATTGGGTGAAGATTATAAATAAGAAATTCACAAAAGTAGAAACTCAACTTGCTAACAAATATATGAACAGAAGCTCAACCTCAATTAGTAAATAGAGAACTATAAGTTAAAACAAACCCAAAACACAAAATATCCCTTTATAGCTATTACATTGGCAAATATTTTTAAACATTAGATAGTACCAATTGCTGGTGAGGATATGGAGGAAACAGGAATTCTTGTGAACTGTCATGGGTAGGGTAAATTGTTATAATGATTCTGGGGAGCAATTTGGCAGTATTTAGTGAAACTAAGTGTATGTGCATATAGTATGATCTAGCACTCCACTCCTGAAAATATTTCCCAGAGAAACCCTTGCAAAGGTCCAAAAAAGGATTAATGAGAACATTCATCATATAAACAGCAGGAAGTTAGAATCAACCAGTGAGTTCATCACTGGAAGAATGGTCTATATACACAGTAGGTTCATACCATGGATTATGTAATTAAAAGCAATCAATTACACATAAATATAGGTACATGGATAGATCTATAAAATCACCAATGAATGACAATTAAGAACAAGAATGACCTCAAAAGAATAAAAATAGACATCATATGATCCAGCAGCCCCACTCCTAGGCATATATCCAGAGGGAACCTTAATTTAAAAAGACACTTGCACCCCAGTGTTCATAGCAGCACTATTTGCAATAGCCAGGACACAGAAACAACCTAAATATCCATCGACAGACGACTGGATGAAGAAGTTGTGGTATATTTATACAATGGAATACTACTCGGCCATAAAAAATAATAAAATAATGCCATTTGCAGCAATGTGGATGGACCTGGAGAATGTCATTCTAAGTAAAGTAAACCAGAAAGAGAAAGAAAAATAGCGTATGATATCACTCATATGTGGAATCTAAAAAAAAAAAAAGACAAATGAACTTATTTATAAAACAGAAACAGGCTCATGTATATAGAAAACAAACTTATGGTTACCAGGGTTGGGGGGAGGGAGTAGAAAGGGATAAATCGGGAGCTTGAGATTTTCAGATACTGACTGGTATACATAAAATAGATAACAAGTTTATACTGTATAGCACAGGGAACTATATTCAATATCTTGTAGTAGCTTATGGTGAAAGAGAATATGAAAACAAATATATGTATGTTCATGTATGACTGAAGCATAGTGCTGTACACCAGAAATTGACACAACATTGTAAACTGACTATACTTCAATAAAAAAAGTAAAAAAACAAGAATGAGATCTCCAATAACACAATACTATCTTGTAATTAAAAAGTACAAATTTAAAAAGCATACAGATAAAAGTCAGCCAGAAGGACAAATGTCATATACTATCACCTATATGTGGTATCCAAAAACAAATGAATAAATAAAACAAAACTGAAATAGACTCACAGAGAGTGCAAACCAGTGGTTACCAGTGGGAGGGACAAGATAGGGGTAAGAAATTAAAATATACAAACCACTACTCACAAAATAAATATGCAACAAGGACATAAATGCACAGCACAGAGAAATATAGCTACTATTTTATAGCATCTTTAAATGGAGTATAATCTATAAAAGCATTGAATCATTATGTTGTACATCTGAAACCAACAGAACATTGTAAATCAACTGCACTTCAATAAATAAATAAATAAAAATAAAGGAAATAATAGCAAATACAAAAATAAAACAAATTTTTAAAGCACATGTACAAATCAACACTCTACAATTTATAAAGACATACACATATTTAAGAAATTATACCAAATACATCAGTGAGTGCCAGAGGGTGTGTGGGATAGGAAGGGGGTAGTGGGATTACTATACAGTAGAAAAGAAGTAAAATGAGTAAAATAAAATGAGAGAGGCCTTGAGCAGCCCACTGATGACATCATGCTATGAACTGATTAGAAATTTTGAGTGACTCAACTCCCTGTTCTCGAAGTCCCCTTAAAAAAACCTCACCCTCATGAAAAATCCAAGTTACAATAATATAAATTAATCTACAAAAAAAGTTGATAGAGGTGCTCAATCAGCCCTCTACTGATAACTTTTAACTGGCCAAGCTACGGCTAAAGAGAAACTTGATTTTACACAGCTTTCACAGCTTCTCAACATCCACATACCTGCAAAAATGAGAGAATTTGTATATCCTTCCACGTGAGTCCTCGTGATTCATTCAGGTTGTAGTTTAAGTAGGATCAGCATGAGCAAGCAAAGCACGATCCAAAAGGAAGAAGCAGAAGCAAGATGATGTTACGGAAGTATCTTTCTGCACAGTCCCTTCTGCCGTTGTAGGGCCCGGGGGAACCCTTCAACGTAGGTGCTTGGCAACAAGTCGGCTGAGATAGGCTGACCTTGGAGCTTTCGTAGTCTCTCCTGTACAGCACTGGTCAGGTCTACACAAGCCTCATCAACGCTGGCACATTCAATCACAGCAAAACGAGCTTTTCCCTCCATTACTTCCACGCTGGTTGCCCGGTACTTGGGGAGGTTAGCTTTCCCATGGGACTCACGGACTTGTGCCAGTAGAAGATCTGAACATAACTTCTTAGCATCATCTGCCCACATATTTCTAATGATCCCAAATGTACGAGCTTCGTACCTTACTGCAACGATTCCATAGCCTTTCATGGTCTGTCCTGTCAACTGCACAAGGCTTATTTCTCAAATGAGGATTTTGCCGCGGCTCCAGGTGAACCAAAAAACAGCCCAAGTCCACTAGAGCAACTACCGGGTCCTGTTCGTTTCAATGTGGCAAACACCCGGGCAAACTGCAGCCCTTGGGTGCTGCCGATACCGGGCTTGGTGTCCACCAGAGGGAAGATGAAAGGGTCTTGAATATCTGTCCCCTTTCCGGGAGCTGGAGAGTCACTTTTGAGAGAGATTTATTCCCCATAATGACGGAGAAAAGGACGAAAGGCCGCAGAAGACTCTTGCCAGGGAAACGGCCCGCGAGCCGCGTGGACCGCCCTCCTGACAGGGATGAGGGGTCGCGTGCGCCCGCGCTCGACGCCGACGTCCGCTGACGCGCCTACGCACCGCGGCCCTTACGTCTCCTCGCACGTCTTCTAACTTCTGTTTCCCGGCTGTGAAGAGTTCCACCTTCTACAGACTCAGCCTTTCTAATTAACCAAAATTGTTATTTTATATATTTTGCTTCGGATGTTTGAATCATCACGGCTTGGTGAGTAGCATCTATCTCAGCGGGATCTGTTGTCTTTTCAGCACGTCCTGCCATCGTGGGAAAAAACTGATTTTCTATAACCATAGGAGGTTACTACCATCACCATCCTAAGTTTTTTCTGTCCTAAGACATGACTTCTGGTACCTTGCAAGGAGTCCTGGTTCCTTTGAGTGTAATTTGGAACGGTAATCTGTGCTTTATGAGGGCTCATGATGGCAAGTTGTGGACACGGGTGATGATTTCTGCTGTTGTGGGTAGAATGCTTTTAGTGGCAGGTCTGGGAAATATATATTTTTTTGAGCGTATGAGCTTACATCAGGTTTTTTTCTAAATTAAAAAATTTTAATAATATAAGTTTTCATGCTGCATTGGCAGTATGAACCGAATTGTACAAATGGGTTTCATAAATCAGTGCTTGTTTCTGTTCAGAACCAATATTCTCTGAGATGGGCTACCTTGGAATCTGTGATTCGCCCAGCAACCCTTCCCCTTTCTTTGTTACTAACACTCCGGTTTTGCTTCTGGGGACTTCGCTTCCCTCCTTCCATATTGTTCTGGTGGGAGAGACATGTGCATTGTCCTCACACTTCTTGGACACATGTCTGAGGTAAGACTAATCCTACCCTCCCAGGAGTTTAAGTCTTCAGTGAGTGTACATTGACACAAAGCACTGAAGTGGGTCCTTCCAATGGCCAAGCCGTGAAGAGAGTCTTTTAATACCTCTTTCCTAATTTCTTGGAGCATCTTGATCCTGTTCTTCCCAAGGCCTGATTGTTCACTTTTTCATTAGAGTCTGTAGTTTATTTAATTTTTTAAAGATTATTATTGCTATTTTGCTTAAGTTAACCAGAGTCGGTTTCAGTCACCTACAACCAAATAATCACTGATGCAGTCATCTTTGTGGGTGGATATGTGGGCTGCCAGTAGCTTCTAGTGTAACTATGTTGGATGCCTCAGAATTTTTTTTTTTCAGAAAATTATTTGCATGATGACTTGATCAGTTTATTTAGAGAAGGTTTCAGTCAGTGACAAGGGGTCTGGGAAAAACGTGAGTCCTTTTTATTTACGAAACAGATTGGTTTTTCTATTTGTTTTACGTGTTTGTAGGTACAACCATTTTCAGACTTGTTTATTTTTATGTGAAAAAGATTACTCATAACTTGTCATTTTCAGAAATCAAGAACATAAGACTTTCTTTAAGAGAAAGACCTATATAACTTTATACCACCCTGGTCCCAAGGTTGTCTCAGGTTGTATATCCTGTGTTTACAACACAGTTACTCAGCTTCTGTCTTCATAAGGAAGAAGGTCAAAGGTATCTTTGGGTTGTTCTCTTTGATATCTTAGTATGGAGATTTGTTCATAGATTGTGACTTTAGGCCATCAAATGTTCAAACTTATTTGAGTCAAACTGTAACTCCTGCCATCAGGGATGCTGTGTTTTCCCCATCTATGAAGTGCTTTTCTTATTTCTTATGTGCAGTAAATGATAATGACCGACCTTGAATTTTGCTGGCTGAAGTGCTGGGTAAACAATAAATAATACCAGTGACTCTATGAGATTACAGTCTAGGTTGGGTGCCCTCTGCATTCTTCAACACTTCATTGTTGATTCAATTTTTGAAAATTGCCAACTCGGTCTTCAGATCATGTATAGTAAGTCACTACAAATCATAGGTATAATAGCAGCTACCATTTATTGAGTATATTATGCCAGACACTGTATTGGATGGTTTATAAAAAGTGTGTTCTGTTTTCGCCAATATCTTGGGTACTATCATCATCATTTATAGACAAGGGAACTGGGATTCAAATTTCTGTGATTTGATGAAGTTTTCCTTATTCTACTTTTTGACAATTTATTCAAATGAAAGATATCCTAGTTCTGTATATTTCACATAAGAACCTTCATAAATAATGGGATAAACACAATACATGTGCCTATGTTGCCCTTGTTTCAATGATTTTCAAATCTCCAACTCTTTCCCCCTATTCTTTCATCATGTCTGGCATCCAACAGCTTTTCCAAGTCAGAAATCTGAAATATCACCCTTGATCTTTTCCTCTTTTTATTCCCTTATGTCAATCAGTTATTAAATCTCGTCAAAAATATATTTTGAATATGACTATATTTTTCCTTTTTATTGTCACTGCTATACTTTAGTTCACCATTATCTCATCATCTCAATGATTCTAGCTGTACCTAAAAGGAAATGTCTCAGTTAATCTATGCTTATTGAGGCCTCTTGGAGACATGGACTTTTTGGAATGATTTATGGTCCTGGACAGATAAAGAGCAGAGTGGGACTGGGTGGTAATGAGTAGTCACAGACTTGGATGAGAGATCATCTATAGGGAAAGAATATAGATTGGATTGGTTCCGTTTAGTAGTAGGCTAAAATCATTATGGAACTTTTTGACCAAGGGTGAGAGATTAAAACAATAAGCAGGAATGGAGCTATCTTTGGATTCTGGGCACAACAAATCAGTATGCCACACTGTAAATGCTAGGTGAAGGTATTAAGGGAACAATAAGAGGTCAGCAATATATTAGGAAAAAGAGCAAGAAAAAGTTGGAAAGGTAAGATGGTTACTTTCCTAACATTTACCATGTTCTATGTAGGACATGCTTTGTTTTGTTTTTGATTTAGTTTTTTTGAAGTATACAAAAGCTATATTCTTGTTTATCTGGTCTAAAGATCTTCCCGGGTTGAGGGTAGACTCAAAGTGGCTGGGTGAATGTAGACCTTTAGGAGCCAAGGGCTTGAGGCCTGAGTAACAGTTCTGTGAGTTTAGTAGTGCCTTTTAGTCATACCTTTTCCTCAGCTAGAGATTGGAAAATGGCCAATTTTATGCCCAAGCAGGTTGAGTCATGCCCATTTTGGACTGTCCAAAGGCAGAATATAAGTAAAAAAGATCAGGTGATATTTTTAAAAAGATAAAATGAAAGAAGGCAGCATCATATGAAAAAGACCTTATATATTTGCAAGCAATGCAACTGACAAGGGCTTAATCTCCAGAATATATAAACAGCTCATACGATTTAATAACAAAAAACCAAACAACCAAAAATGGGCAGAAAACCTAAACAACGAATTTTCCAGTGAAGACATACAAATGGCCAATAGGCACATGAAAAAAATGCTCAATATCACTAATTATTAGAGAAATGCAAATCAAAACTACAAGGAGGCATCACCTCACACCAGTCTGAATGGCCATCATTCAAAAGTCCACAAAAGATAACTGCTGGAAAGGGTATGGAGAAAGGGAACCCTTCTACACTGTTGGTGGAAATGTAGTGTGGTGCAGCCATTATGGAAAACAGTATGGAGATTCCTTAAAAAACTAGACATAGACTTACCATGAGATCCAACCATCCCACTCCTGGGCATATATCAGGAGGGAACTCTAATTTGAAAAGATACATGCACCTCAATGTTCATAGCAGCACTATATGCAATAGCCAAGACATGGAAACAACCTAAATGTCCATTGACAGATGACTGGATAAAGAAGGTTTGGTATGTTTATACAATGGAATAGTACTCAGCCATAAAAAAGAATAAAATAATGCCATTTGCAGCAACATGGAAGGACCTAGAGATTGTCATTCTAAGTGAAGTAGGCCAGAAAGAGAAAGAAAAATACCATATGATATCACTCATATGTGGAATCTAAAAAAAAAGAAAAAAGGAGAGCACTAATGAACTTATCTGCAAAACAGAAACAGACTTGCAGACATAGTGAATAATCTTATGGTGGTTACCAAGGGAAAGAGAGTGGGAAGGGATAAATTTGGGAGTTTGAGATTTGCAAATATTAACCCCTGTATATAAAAATAGATTAAAAAAATAAATTTCATCTGTATAGCACAGGGAACTACATTCAATATCTTGTAATAATCTTTAATGAAGAAGAATATGAAAATGAATATATGTTATGTATATGCATGATGGGACATTGTGCTGTACACCAGAAATTGATATGGTGTAACTGACTGTACTTCAATTAAAAAAAAGGAAACAAACGTATGATTACTGGAGGGGGCAGGGGGTGGGAAGGGATAAGTTGGGAGACCAAGATTTGCAGATACTACTATATATAAAATAGATAAACAACAAATTTCTACTGTATAGGACAGGGAACTATATTCAAAATCCTGTAGTAACCTATAATGAAAAAGAATGTAGAAACAAATGTATATATGTATATGTATGACTGAAACTTCATGCTGTATGCCAGAAATTGACACAACATTGTAAACTGACTATATTTCAGTTAAAAAAGAAAAGAAAAAGAAAAAGACCTTATAAGCAGAGAGATCAGTCACCATAAATGAAACAGTGTTAGATGGAATCTGCAAGACTGTGGCCGATGGTTTTTGCTAAATCACTATTATATTTACCCAGAGTACCAGTTCATTGAGTACTAGATAGGGTCTTGGAGAACAAGAACAAACTGTGGGTTCCCTATCAAATAGCACAGTTAGCCTGGGAGAGAAACAGAATGGGTCTCTCATAGCCAGAATGAAACA